TTTCCCTGTGCCATATCCTCTCCAACATACTTTGCTAAAGGAATAAATGTATTTATCAATGACCTTCTCTTAAGGATTTATGTTGCATTTGTCTTTGTTTTCATAAGTCTTTAGATTATTTAAAACTTGATCTTTTATGCTGCGTTGGCAGCGATGTTCAACATAAATCTCTATTTCCTTTGTAACCTTTGGCAGCATTTGCAAGAGCATTAGTTGAATGATTGGTATTATTTGTCAATAAATCAAAATGAAAATTGCTCCCCTCAACAGATGACTGAATAGAAGGTTGACATCTTCGCATTATAGCGGTTGATTTGGTATTGTGAGCTACACAGTATTTTTCCCTGGCAGTTTATTTGAGGGAAACAAGGCAAAATGCGATGAAATACATTTTGTCTGCCTTTTGTTCTGAGGGATGACTAATGCCGCGATGGCCAGTTTTACTGAGCTCGTGTCAATAAATTAAGGATGTCGTCCGCAGTTTTCCCCTCACTCTGTAATTCATACCGCTTAGAGCGTCGCTTTAAAATGGCTTTTGTCTTTTCGTTACTTTCTCTTGTCTTCCTACATCACCACACATCACTCATCCATCGCTCCTGTGTGTATAATGTATACCTACCTGCCCTCTTTATTTCTCCACTCATCCACTTGGAACATGTATTCAGTGTACAGAAGGTATCACTGTAGCTAATGACATCCCATAAGAATCAATGCTGGATTTTCTACTTACATATACACATTTATGAAAAGTATAAAGTGGCCCACAGCTACAAATTTAATGCTAAATGCAAGTATGCAGGTAATCTGCTATCTAGCTGGGTTTCACTTGTTTCCCATCTGGTGTAAGGCAAGGCAAGTTTATTTGTTACAATTACAATTCAACAACAAGGTGATTCAAAGAGCTTTACAGAGACATTAGAAACAAAAACTAATAAAAAGCATGATTTAAAATTAATTAAAACAAGCAAACAAACAAACAAACTAATTAACAAACAAACAAAACAGTAGATAAAATCTAAACAGATAAAATCAGTAGTTAAAATGTAAGTTTTGAAATTTAAGCTTAAGTGCAGATTTGGTGCTTTGGTCTGGTGCACTTCCCATGTTAACGTTTCTGTTTTGAATTCCCATGACCCCTCTCTGATCTCATAAAAACACTACGCTTGGTTCCTATGATCAGTTTTTCAGCCGAGCCATTACTCAGTACTGTCACTCAATCCACAAAAAAACGATCATAAGCCATAATAAATGACAAACGCATTCCCAGTGGCTTGATGTGAATTTAATTGTTTCGCCTCTTGCTTCATCTGTCCACTGCTCGCTTTCCTTTTTCACCATTAGTAAGTTTGAGATCAAAGTGACAAGCGCATGTGGATCTCAGGGGCCCTATCAGCTGAGAAACAGACTATGTGATCGTGTGGTTTTCCCAGTGTCATTCCCAGGAGTCAGTTCTACCAGAAATGAGAAGGAGGGATTGTGAGTGTCCCAGTCTACCCAGCTAGCTAGCTGAAAAGTCTAATAATGACAGTGACCTCACCCATCACTCTCACTGCATTGCTTCTAGACCAATCACAATAGGCAATTTCTGTGCATGGGTGTGTGTTCTAATGGAAATGCACCTCAGATACCCTTTGTGTTTGTGTCAGACAGTGTAGTGGAAGTGCATGCGATCCACAATATTGCTATCCGATTTTATTGTCAGAAAATGAGAGAGGACAAACTCGAGCTGTGGAACTGATGTAAAGCAAGACAAGGTTGACCCTTATGTCAGTGAGACCTGCCACAGCTTTCTGTTTCTCTTCAGTCACAGACAAAAGGATGTAAACACTCAGCAGATGTCAAAGTGGTGCCAAATATTAAAAGTTGTCCTGGGTTGTTGTATTCAATCAGTACTTGAAACAAATAATAATGAGTTCATGCAAAGTAGAGCTGGATGACCCATTCAAATAACTCCTAACATATACCTGTTAACCAGCAGGATACATGTTACTCTGCCGAGTAGGTGGTTTCATCTGCTTGTGTTTAGTCAACATTGTGAGAAATCAAAGCGAGACTGGAATGAAAGCTGACACTCTTCAGATGAAGAATCCCAGAGGTTCTCGTGACCTCGTGTCCTTTCCTGTTGTGCAAGTCCAGTCAGCGACTTTATGAATGTAGCTTCGACTTACATATCCTCAGAAAGTAAAATAAACCCATGTTTAGCTGACCCACGAACCCTCTTTCACGTAGGTTCACTACCAGCTTCACTTCTAGCTACTCTTATACAAAGATTTTTCTTCTCAATACAGTACAGTAACTGCTTCTCTTTTAGTTCTCAAAAGGCTCGGGGCTTACCGTGTACAGGAAGATCAAAACCAGCTTAAATAAAAACAAATAAACAGAGATACTTTTAGTCAAGTGCTCTTTATACCATCTCCTCTGATGTTAAAGAAAGTTAGTTACTGGCTTTCTGATCAGCCTATTTTTCTTTCCTTTCTCAAACTGGGCAATACCATTTAACCAACACAACATATTAAATATATATCACAGCCCAGAAGATTACTGGCTGCTCTCTGCCCAGTCTGGGGGCCATTGCAAACTCTCGGTACCTCAGCAGAGCTGGCAATATCATTAAGGACTACTCTCACCCCAGTAATCAACTGTTTGAACTATTACCGTCAGGCCAACGGTACAGGTCACATAAAACCAGGACAAACAGATTCAGGGATAGCTTCTTTCCCAGAGCTATCACCGTAGTAAATAAGCACAAAACAATTGAACCTGCTTAACTTTACCATACTTGCCATTGTCATTATATTATGCTGCTATCCTGTATATATCATGCTTATTATTGTCTGAGTACTTCGGTTGTTTTATTGTACTTTTTATATTTTACATTTATATTTATTATTGCATTTTGCACCAAGAGAGTGGCACTCCAATGTCGTTGTACTTTGTACAATGACAATAAAGGCTATTCTATTCTATTCTATTCTATTCTAAAGGCTATTCTAAATGTTTCAAATTTGATGTTCAGTTTGAGCAAACTGGAATTTGTGTGTCAATAAAACTAAACCCTTTACAGGACCTAAACATGCCACTGCATCCATGCTCCTGTCCCATTTGATCCCCTAAGACACCGCATGCTGTTTGAAGTCTCTACTTGAAAGGCCTGATCTGAATATAGTGGATTCCACAGCAACTCTGCAAGCAGTGATTACAGACTGATTAATGAGCCACTGCAGACAGGCACACACACCCAGTGTGCACACATATTACCACTCATGCTCACTTTTCTAGGCCATACGCAAATGGATTATGTGGAGTCAGTATGTCACGTCGGTCTCCCTCTGTGGTAGATATGTTTTGTTTAAATGTTTAAAGTTTTCAGGGATGGGTTACTCCTATATGGAGCAAGAGCCCACTCAACTGTTGATACTAACCAGCTTATCGTGTGTGTTTTTATTTTCACTTTTCCACAGTGTCTGCCGAGATCTTAAAAAGCAGTTTGACCAACATGGAACGGCACATTCAGAGGCTTGAGAATGACATCGAAAACTTCCCCAAAACAGCTGATGGACAAGATAAGTTTGTGGAAAAGATGTCTATATCCTTTTTTTATTGTGTTCATTCCCAGACGATACACAGGTTTAGACGTAAATTTGCTCTCTAACAACATTCGCTTTGAGCGATATTAGGAGACTCTTTGTCCTATTTTGTAGCGAGCAGTGGCAAAGGTGTGTGCTGTTTGTGTTCAGCCTGGCTGTGGTAAGCAGTTTAAGTCACTTGGTGTGATAGGTGGCACCCTAGGGAACTTGGGGAATGGATCTGGCTGCCTTGCTGCGAGACGCTGATCAGATCTCCCTCTTCAGTCCTCCCCGGGTCCCAAGAGTGAAATCATGCCTGTGGCTATTTTTACTGCACTCTGCCACTGCTGCCTGTCCCCTGGGGACCTCTAATAGGGACTCTGGCCCCTCACACCAACTTATCGCTTATTCCTGATTTCATCTTTTGGCCGACCACAAACCTCTCCACACAGAACTCTTTTCTCATGACACCTCTCCTGTTTTGATAACAGAGTGTTTCACTTAAACCCAAGCATCTCTAGTCCCAAATTGAATTAGCCATGTCTCTGCACTTTCTTGAATGCCCTTTCTGAGAGGAAAGGTTCTCACTGTATAGGTTTGATCAATAGTGAAAATCAAGTCTGTTGTCAATACCCTGAGGCGAAGGTGCCTTTCATGGGGAAAAACACAGTGAAGCAGTCAGCAGGATCGCCGATATTTGTCTCTAGTATTATAAAGAAAAGAAAGGATTACTCTCGAGTAATTTAAAACATGAGTGGGTGTTTCCATATGCTAGGGGCTCACACAAAAACATATAACATTATCTTTACTTCCTTTTATCTGATATCTATTTAGGCTAAATCAACACAATTGGAGGGACGAGAGCAACAGTCCCTAAAAATCTGTTCAAACCAGAGATGGACATTTACATTTGCATATTTAAAAAAAGAAAAAACTGATGCAGAGGCTTCCCTGGCGGCAGCTGCTATATGAAGCAGAGCAGGCAGGCAAGAAAGCTGCTCTTTCCCCCAATGTCAGTATTGATTCCCAGGCTCCGTTGAGAACTAGATGCTTGAGTGAGAGGAAATGGAGAAGTGTAGATGTACTGCAGTATGGTTCCTTTTCACTGTCTGGAGTTCCTCCCCAGAGAATGGCAAAGAGAAACTGGCTGGCCATGACCTGAAACATCACCCCGCACACCCACCCACCCCTACCCATCCTACCTGACCATGCTGTGGTCCTAGGAATAACGCTCATACAGATTTACTGCAGTGAAACTGATTTTGCGTCTTACTTTGCTAAAAGTTGGAACAATGACATGGTTATATTTTATATTTTATTTTGCAGTGTTGAATTCATTGTTGATTATAAAGTTACTTCCCGAATAACTGGGGGAATAAAAAAGGATTTTCAGTATTTCATGCATTCTTTTGTGTTAACATGTTAGGATCTATAAAATATATATATGTTGTTTTATTGTAGCACAGTACATATTATCAGGACCAGTGTTGGTCAAGTTACTTGAAAAAAGTAATCAGTAACTAATTACTGATTACCTCCCCCAAAAAGTAATCCAGTTACTTTACTGATTACTTATTTTCAAAAGTAATTAATTACTTAGTTACTTTTTAAAAACACGATTTACAACCTGAATAGGTGATAAAGTGATAGATCTTTCAGCCCAATTCTACTTTTTCTGCATAATTCATCATATAAAATGTAATCAAATGGAAAATTAGTTTTAATCTTTTAACTGCATCAAGCAAACATTAAATTATCTGCAACATTCTCTGACTTGAAGAAATTAGTTTAACATTTAACCCTATTTTCTGCACATTCCAGCACATAAAATATATATTTTTTTGTGTTTACACTCAGTCTTTGAAATAGATGCAAGTAAAACACAGCAGAAAATAAAGAAAGTCAAAGACTAGCGGTCCTTTTGCTCTATTTTCACCTGTAAAGCAGGAGTGGGGCAGGCGGAGGGTTACCCTGGTGCAGGTGTGCAGCGGTCAGTGGAAGGATCCGCGAGTTTCCCTGTGAGTTTCCCATTACGTCGTAGCTACTCGGTGCTTGTTTGGAAGTTTAGGGGTTTTTTCGCTGTAAAAAGAAGTTTTCTTCCCACGCACAACGGACACTAATGTTTTTGTCACTTTTTATGGAATCAAACTCAAAGTAAGGTCAGTACTTCCACGCTTTAAACGCTGCACGCTCATACTCTCTCTGCACTCGATATATGATCCATTGTTGATCTGCACACAGCTGTTGTCACGCACGTCGCACTCGCTTACGTCACTGTTGTGAGACATTGTTGCAAAAAACTCACGGTTTTAGTAACGCAGTAACGCAGCGTTCCTACGGGAAAGTAACGGTAATCTAATTACCGTTTTTGCAATAGTAATCCCTTACTTTACTCGTTACTTGAAAAAAGTAATCAGTAACGGGTTACTGCCCATCTCTGATCAGGACGTCAAAGTAAATGACATTTTGCACTGTTCATTCCGAGAATTGATTTCGGGGGTGTGATACGGAGGGAAACCTTTGCCTGTGTGTGTCTGTGTGCGTCTGTGTTAATTTAGCCCTTTTCTCAGATTTTTCTACCACTTTAAATCTCCTCAGATATCAGATCTTGGACTGTTTTGTGTAAATGAGCATTGTGATGGAATGAATCCACGCGCATATGGACCATAAGGAGAGATTGAAAGTGGAGACTGCTTGAATCACTGAAGTTTGTAGTACCAGCGTTTGCTATGAGCTTAGGGGGCACTTTAATGCCAAGTGTTGGAACAGTGACAGTGTGAAATACAGTGCCGTATTTTTTGGGGTTGACATTTCCTTTGCTGTACATAAGATAGCACAATCAAGGGAAACATACCTTTTTAAACTTTATGCTGGGATATGTCTGTGAAGGTTCTCAGTTTATGCTGGGATTAAAGAAAAGGATGTTGGTTCCTTGAAGCATGACAGATGGAAGAACAACAACATCTAAAAGTCGTGCATTTGATGCTTGAGCAACCCTGAAAAAGTTAAGTGAAGCTCTGTTGTCTTGACGGCTGGGCACTGTGATGAATTAGTCAGACTGCGTTTGTGTGTGTGCGCTCGTGTGTGTGTGCTAGAGAGAGACTCAGAGAAAATGGGAAGGTAATTTACATTGGATGTGTAGGTGAGTACATATGCTTCTGTTTCAGTCTGCATGTCTTTCATCTTTAACTAGCAAAAAACCCTGCAGGGTTTTAAAAAGTGTAGTGACAACTGGATAAAAAAGAGGTAAAACAAAGAGGTAAATAGATGGACTTTTTCAACATGATACCCCGCTCGAGCCTGTATAATCAAAGTTACATAGAAATAATGGCCCTCTATCACAGACCTGGGAGTTTTAGGGGTCTGCAGAATATCTTAGCTGTTCCCAGAAAAAGACCTCTGATGTTGTGCCTGGACTGGACTGCTGGAGCTGCTCGTCTATTTTGAGGGATAAAGCTCTTAATAGTCCTATTACCTCTGAAATGGCTTTGGTTTTTACCTTCCACATCTGCTCCAGTTGTTTCTTCAGCTCTGGTACTTCTCAATTTTCTCTTGCGCCTTCATTCTGATGTTGCTGTCAGCTGGAATTGCTACATCTATCACAACTGCGGTCCTCTGCTTTTTATCAACCATCACTGTGTCTGCTTGGCTGGCCAGCAACTGCTTGTCAGTCTGGAACTTGAAGTCTCATGGGACTTCAGCCCATGTTCTTGACCACCTTCTGTGGTGTCTCCCTCTAGTACTTTGGGACTTCTAGTCCATATGCAGCACAGATGTTCCTGCACACTATCCAAGCTACATGGTTGTGCCTCTGAGTTTATGCTGTCCCAGCTTGCAGCTTACATCCTGTTACTTTGTGCTGGACTGTCTCTTGGGTGCTGTTGGCTTTGGTAAACTCCTGCCTCTGTGAATTTCTGTGCGTTTCAAGCTCAGGTGCTCTAGTTTAAGGGAGAATTTAAGCGCTCGGTATCATTCCTTAATATGCCACCACCTACCTGAGTGTCGTTGCTGACCATGTGCATCCCCTTATGACCACAATGTCATCATTTCTTTCTAGCAGGGTGTTACGTCCCCTGGCTAGTCTAGGGGGTTGAAGGGACGAACATAAAGGTGGATAGAGAAGGAGGAGCCAAGATGGTAAGTGTAGAAGGTTTATTTAATGCTGGTGATGAGATTTGTGGTTCAGACTGAGGTATAATGTCAGGGAGAGCCAAGGCCAACATAACAAACAAAACATCCCGGATGTAGAAATAAAAGAAACTTGCCTAACTCCAAAGAAAACAAAATATACAACCTATAACCATAACCTACCTAACAACACATAACCAGGAGAAAACAGGGTGTCAAAGCAAAAGGCAGCTCTCCCCTACGAGCAGTCTGAACATGAAAACAACAATGCTCATACACGTTACAAAGGCATGCACGCCTGCACAGGTATGGCAACCAAAATGGCCAGAGGGCACAGAAGCACAGCTCCACAGGCCTTAAGTAGTGCTCTGCTGATTACCAATTAGCCGGACTCTGTGCAGCATCCAATCAGGACAGAGGAGGTGGAGCCTGGACAAAACAAAGGGTTAGTAGGCAGAAGAGACATCCTCCTGGGGGATGTAACACAGGGCAACATGACACAAAGCTCAAATCAACTTCTTCTTGAGCTTAACACTGACTTCAGTGTTTTCAAATGGCCACCAGATTTCAATCATAGGACGACGAGGAAAACGAAGACTAAGAAGCCAGAACTAACTTGGTGGAAGCACTTCATTTGGCTTTACTGATACATTTTTCTCCTTCCATTACTGTAATGTATGCTAATTACTGAATGGGGTGTTTGTTCAGCAGTTTAGTGATCTCTATCTGTCAGAAGTAATGGGGGCTCACAAAGGCTGTAGAGTTGAGACACAAGCCCCCAGAGAGCCCTATTTCACCAGAGAGGCTATCGCTATGATGTGCACACACATGCACGCTGCACTGCTGCTGAATATGATAAAACAGAATAGGATGCTAGAATATTGATGTAGAG